TGTGGTGATATCAATCTTTTTTTATGTAAATAGATTTATGAAGTTTATTACTCCATCGTTAGAAGGAGACAATTTTAATAGCTTTTTGATTTACCGAACTGCTTTTGTGTGACGCATCAACAAATGTGATGTCAAGGCTTTATCTGTGTCTTTATATCTGCAATTGTAACATCCACTGATATTAATAATTTCATATCAACTCTATGATATATATATTTGAGCCATATAGCTGTTCATATAGCCACAAAAGCTGTTGCCAAGTCATTCCCAGAATGCTATTCACTTAATTTCCTGGCCATTTGTATGCTCTCATAAATGTGTGTATTTGTTTGAATGTTGGATTTGAATGTTTGAATATTTGAATGTTGGATTTGAATGTTTGAATATTTGAATGTTGGATTTGAATGTTGGATTTGAATGTTTGAATATTTGAATGTTGGATTTGAATGTTTGAATATTTGAATGTTGGATTTGAATGTTTGAATATTTGAATGTTGGATTTGAATGTTTGAATGTTGGATTTGAATGTTCGAATATTTGAATGTTGGATTTGACTGTTTGAATGTTGGATTTGAATATTTGAATGTTTGGATTTGAATGTTTGAATATTTGAATGTTTGGATTTGAATGTTTGACTGTTTGAATGTTGGATTTGAATATTTGAATGTTTGGATTTGAATGTTTGACTGTTTGAATGTTGGATTTGAATATTTGAATGTTTGGATTTGAATGTTTGAATGTTGGATTTGAATGTTTGAATGTTGGATTTGACTGTTTGAATATTTGAATGTTGGATTTGAATGTTTGAATATTTGAATGTTGGATTTGACTGTTTGAATGTTGGATTTGAATGTTCGAATATTTGAATGTTGGATTTGACTGTTTGAATGTTGGATTTGAATATTTGAATGTTTGAATGTTTGGATTTGAATGTTTGACTGTTTGAATGTTGGATTTGAATATTTGAATGTTTGACTGTTTGAATGTTGGATTTGAATGTTTGAATGTTTGAATGTTGGATTTGAATGTTTGAATGTTTGAATGTTGAATTTGACTGTTTGAATATTTGAATGTTGGATTTGAATGTTTGAATATTTGAATGTTGGATTTGAATGTTTGAATATTTGAATGTTATATTTGAATGTTGTATTTGAATGTTTGAATATTTGAATGTTGGATTTGACTGTTTGAATGTTGGATTTGAATGTTCGAATATTTGAATGTTGGATTTGACTGTTTGAATGTTGGATTTGAATATTTGAATGTTTGAATATTTGAATGTTTGGATTTGAATGTTTGACTGTTTGAATGTTGGATTTGAATATTTGAATGTTTGGATTTGAAGGTTTGACTGTTTGAATGTTGGATTTGAATATTTTAATGTTTGGATTTGAATGTTTGAATGTTGGATTTGAATGTTTGAATGTTGGATTTGAATGTTTGAATGTTGGATTTGACTGTTTGAATATTTGAATGTTGGATTTGACTGTTTGAATGTTGGATTTGACTGTTTGAATGTTGGATTTGACTGTTTGAATGTTGGATTTGACTGTTTGAATGTTGGATTTGAATATTTGAATGATTGGATTTGACTGTTTGAATATTTGAATGTTGGATTTGACTGTTTGAATGATTGGATTTGAATGTTTGAATATTTGAATGTTTGGATTTGAATGTTTGACTGTTTGAATGTTGGATTTGAATATTTGAATGATTGGATTTGAATGTTTGAATATTTGAATGTTTGGATTTGAATGTTTGACTGTTTGAATGTTGGATTTGAATATTTGAATGATTGGATTTGAATGTTTGAATATTTGAATGTTTGGATTTGAATGTTTGAATGTTTGAATGTTGGATTTGAATGTTTGAATGTTGGATTTGAATGTTTGAATGTTGGATTTGACTGTTTGAATGTTGGATTTGAATATTTGAATGTTTGGATTTGAATGTTTGAATATTTGAATGTTTGGATTGGAATGTTTGACTGTTTGAATGTTGGATTTGAATATTTCAATGTTTGGATTTGAATGTTTGACTGTTTGAATGTTGGATTGGAATGTTTGAATGTTGGATTTGAATGTTTGAATGTTGGATTTGAATGTTGGATTTGACTGTTTGAATGTTGGATTTGACTGTTTGAATGTCCCGTTTGACAAATTCAATATTTGTTTAAATATTTAAATTGGCAGTTGGTATATTTAAAATTCATATTATCTAAATATTATATTTGATAGTCATTTGAATGTTTATTTAATTATTTGATTTCACCGTTTGAATATTTGAATGACAGTTGAATGACAATAGATTTTTTTTTGCTTGACTAGTTCATTGGCCTTTTTAAAAGTGGGCATGAAAAGGAAGTTACACTCATCTCTTTTCCTCGATATATATACTGTAATAACTCCTGTGTACACTGTGCTGTCAAAATAACTACCTTATAGAAAATATGATGCCTCGCACACCCGAATCATTCATAGATGCATCGGATTAAAGTCCAATATGAACTCGAAAAATGTATTAATCTCACACACTATTCACACTTACATCATAACAAAAACAAAATCTAATTTTCAAAGACATTGTTATTTTCCAACAGCCATTTTTGGTGAAAAGGATAAAAGAAGAGAAGGAGATGCTGGATGACAGGATTTTGTTTGAATAAGAAATTAATGTATGAATTTCAAATTATATATATATATAAAAAAAATATATATATATATATATATATGCATAGAGAGAGAGATATTAGATGTGATGTAGGTAAGCTGGTTTATTTTTTTATTTTTTTGGCTAGTAGAAGTTCTGAATGGCCGGTAACTTAAAAATTTAGTAGTCAAATTGGCCGATGAGTGAAAAAGTTAAATTCAAACCCTGAATGTTTTCAATATTCAAATTTCTCAACTGTTTTTTTATTTATTTATTTTTTTAACTTTTTGACCCTAACCCGGGATTAAGCCCAGGCTCTGATTATTCCTGAAAGATCCTATAATAGTGATCATGATATGCAGTCTGAGACCCGAGCGCGTCTCCGTCCTCCGCTCTCCTGCGCTCAGAGAAAGGCTTGTGACGGTTCATGTGTTGGTCTTCCAGGTCGAGTGTCAGGGGAGTTGAAAAGAAAGTGTCGGCACCCAGAGTATCACACTTCTCATCAGCATCAGGAGCCTTTCGGGTAATGCCGAGCTCAATAATTAATCCCGGCGTTTAAAAATGCATGGAAGTAGCTGTCACTTCTCGCACTCTCTCTCTCAGATGATCTCGGTGAGTCAGTTTTTCTGGAAACCCGATCGAGAGCGGATCATCCTGAGACACCTTCTCTTCCCGAGACCCGAGGGTGTCGGTGTCACCGCAGCTTTTCACGGCACCAACATCGAGTCCTATTGTTCACCAGACTGTGTTTGTCCAGCTCTTACAGAATGACACCCTCGGTCACTGACCACATGCGAGACGTGTGTGAAAACTGGATCGCGTCCAGCATTCGACACCTCGAGGCCGAAGGAGAGACTATGCCGTGACTGCCGGCTGTTAACACACTCAATATCCCGTTCCGCTGTTCACAGATCACACACACTACTGTGGGTTCAACACAGCCGCTCACTGACAAGATATTAACACATGAATTATCTCGTTAGCTCTCAATAATGACACAACGACCACTCTATTTTAGAAATAGTTTCTATTTCTGCGACGTCGCGGCTGAAACTACAACATGCGAAGTATGACGATGATAAACACTGATTATGTGCTTTATTTAATGTTAAAAGGATCTAATGTGAGTTTGTTGTGCGTTACAATATTGTGTTACTCCCTAAAAATAAGTAATTGCGTTACTTTTTATGGAAAGTGAAGTTACATCACTATTGTTACTTTTTCTTACCCGTGCACCCAGCAGTAACTAAGAAGCAACTAAGTAACGCAATTACTTATTTTTTAGGGAGGAACACAATAATGTTACTGAATAAGCCTCAGGCTGAAGGAAATGTAGATTAGTAGAAAAAAGTAGTATCGTCATTAACTTGTATTTAGACAACAGAACATTTCTTTTAAAATCCCCCTGTAGTCAATCATTTTATCCCTTAAAACTCATCTTTGATCACCAAAATGAAATATCTTGAATGTAACTCGACACCCTTGCCTCATTTAGTATGCTCGGTTCTATGAATATGCAAATGAGCCCCGCCTCCACTCACTCACTCAGCTCAGAGATCCACTGGTTGACGATCACACGTTGATCTGATTGGTTACAAGGTCGTTTGTGACGTCAGAAACACCAGCGATTTCAAACCGTGTTTTTGAGACTGTCTTTGGTTCACTGCAGTTTTAAGGAGAAAATACTGTCGACTTATGAATTTACACATGGTTTGTCTTACAGCATATTAAAAACACCACATGGACACATAAACAACATTAAACGCTGGATTTACCTCAAAACTGACCTGAAAACCATAAATGTTCACTTTCTATTGAAAGGGCTGTTGGGTAATTTTGCAGCTGGCAGAACTTCTGTTCAATAACCAATAACAGTCTCGCATATCAGCTATCTTAATAGCTTTGAACATATGCTGTATTTTCAATTTACATTCATAGTTTTGGGATTTTGTGTGGAAATGACATTCTTCAATGACACAATTCAGATTCAGCTTTTTTTTTGAGAACGTTACACTGTGATTGCACTGTCATTATTTATTTATTTTAACCTTATTTAACCAGGCACGTCACTTAAGAACAAGTTCTTATTTTCTTTCAACATTAAAATGGACATACAAACAAACATACATTACAATAAACACACATATTTACACAGTTTTTATCACAGCTTGTAAATGTTTTAAATGATATCTCCTAAGTCAGTCTAACAGTGTTGCTCTCTGTCCCGCTGCAGACGACGAGTGACCGGCCGTTCATCCAGAAGCTCTTCCGGCCCGTGTCTGCCGAGGGACACGCTCTTACACTGGGGGACCTTCTGAAGGAGCTGTTTCCCTCCAGCATATGTGCGGAAGGTGAGCCGTGTTCGCTGTTAAAGGGGACATATCATGAAAATCTGAGTTTCTCCGTGTGTAAGTGCTATAATCGGGTCCCGGTGCTTCTACCAACCCCGAACACGTGAAAAGTGAAACCCAGTAACTTTGTTTTGGTGGGCCTTTCTCTGAGAGCATGTCAAACAATAAGACGATCAGATTTCGCTCCCCTTCTGACGTATGAAGAGGATCTTATTATAATATTACCGGCCCTTAATCTGCACGTTTATAATATTACCGGCCCTTAATCTGCACACGTTTATAATATTACCGGCCCTTAATCTGCAAGTTTATAATATTACCGGCCCTTAATCTGCACGTTTATAATATTACCGGACCTTAATCTGCACGTTTATAATATTACAGGCCCTTAATCTGCACGTTTATAATATTACCGGCCCTTAATCTGCACGTTTATAATATTACCGGCCCTTAATCTGCACGTTTATAATATTCCCGGCCCTTAATCTGCACGTTTATAATATTACCGGCCCTTAAACTGCAAGTTTATAATATTACCGGCCCTTAATCCGCACGTTTATAATATTACCGGCCCTTAATCCGCACGTTTATAATATTACCGGCCCTTAATCTGCACGTTTATAATATTACCGGCCCTTAATCTGCACGTTTATAATATTACCGGCCCTTAATCTGCACGTTTATAATATTACCGGCCCTTAATCTTCACGTTTATAATATAACCGGCCCTTAATCTACACGTTTATAATATTACCGGCCCTTAATCTGCACGTTTATAATATTACCGGCCCTTAATCTGCACGTTTATAATATTACCGGCCCTTAATCTGCACGTTTATAATATTACCGGCCCTTAATCTGCACGTTTATAATATTACCGGCCCTTAATCTGCACGTTTATAATATTCCCGGCCCTTAATCTGCACGTTTATAATATTCCCGGCCCTTAATCTGCACGTTTATAATATTCCCGGCCCTTAATCTGCACGTTTATAATATTACCGGCCCTTAATCTGCACGTTTATAATATTACCGGCCCTTAATCTGCACGTTTATAATATTACCGGCCCTTAATCTGCACGTTTATAATATTACCGGCCCTTAATCTGCACGTTTATAATATTCCCGGCCCTTAATCTGCACGTTTATAATATTACCGGCCCTTAATCTGCACGTTTATAATATTCCCGGCCCTTAATCTGCACGTTTATAATATTACCGGCCCTTAATCTGCACGTTTATAATATTACCGGCCCTTAATCTGCACGTTTATAATATTACCGGCCCTTAATCTGCACGTTTATAATATTACCGGCCCTTAATCTGCACGTTTATAATATTCCCGGCCCTTAATCTGCACGTTTATAATATTACCGGCCCCTAATCTGCACGTTTATAAACTGTTCTGTGGTTGAGCGCAGACGACACTGAACACTATTGACCAGAACATGTCACCGCTGTCTTATAAACACCTCAGGAACTGTGGACACTTGTGGAAGAGTTCAACATGATGAGGAGATGATCAGTGTAACTCCACAACAACTACAGAAATGTCTCCGCTAACATTCAGAAACGTGTAAAAGTGAAGCTCTCCCTGAGTCTCTCCGTAAGGCTGCACTCGCTGCTGGTTATTCCTGATTCTGGATCAGTGAGATTGGCCTGTGCTGTTATTGCCGGAGTCTCTGAAGCTCGTGTGAAGACTCCGCCCTCTTCTGAACAGAGGCGGAGCTAAAGCTCATTTGCATTTAAAGGAACATACACAAAAACGGGGGGTTTTTGCTCACACCCAAAAAGGGGCAAATTTGACAAGCTATAATAAATGATCTTGTATTTTGAGCTGAAATTTCACTCACAAATTCTGGGGAAACTATAGGTTTATATTACATCTTGTGAAAAGGGGTGTAATATGTCACCTTTAATCTCTCACGGGAGGTCGTAATCAAAGATTAGTGGAGGAGACATTAGAGGAAAACATCTGGAGATAGACGGAGGAGATGTGAAAAGGGAAAGACAAATGAGGGTTGCATGAATGAAATCCACAGCCAAAACAGAGGCGGTGTGTGTTTCTCCTGATGGGAAGTAGATAAGCAGACAATAGCAGTGAGGAACCCAGCACATCTGTGTCTATTCAAGCCCTGATGCTTTGTCTGTGGTTTGGTTGAAGAGAAAGTGGCACTCTGTGTTTTGTTATTGCTCTGCCTCTTCCAGATATGTGGGATCTGCTCTGATAAACGCTCAGGGAAACACATCGCTCTACCTGGGAAAGGCCTTTTCTGTCACAGGACTAGGGTTGGGGATTCTTTGATTTTGATTCCGCTTATCTATTCCTGTGTGTGCGTTTTAAAGGAGTAGTTCACTTCAGAATTAAAATTTCCTGGTAATTACCTCTCCTCCTCCACATCATCCAAGATGTTCATGTCTTTCTTTCTTCAGTGGAAAAGAAATGAAGGTTTTTGAGGAACACACTCCAGGATTTCTCCATATAGTGACTTCAATGGGGTCCAACGGGTCGAAGGTCCAGATGTGAGTTTCAGTGCAGCTTCAAAGTCTCGACACGATCCAGCCGAGGAATAAGAGTCTTATCTAGACAAACCAGCGGACATTTATAACACAATACACATTTATATACTTTTAACCACTAATGCTGGTCTTGCTCGAGCTGTGATGCGACACACATTACGTAATCACGATGTGTTCCGGTTCAGAAATGTAGGAAATGGCGAAAAACGTATTCTCATTTTCTCCTCCAACTTTAAAATCTTCCGACATCATTATTTTATTTATTTATTTTTGTAAATGTCGTTTGACTTAATCTTTTCACGTTCTCTCTGTAAACACTGGGTCTGTATTTTCGCCTACGTCACGCTTGACCTTTCACCCTGATCACGTAATGTGTGTCGCATCATTTGTCGCAAGACCAGCATTAGTGGTTAAAAGTATATAAATGTGTATTTTGTTATAAATGTCGGCTGGTTTGTCTAGATCAGACTCTTATTCCTCGGCTGGATCGTGTCGAGACTTTGAAGCTGCACTGAAACTCACATCTGGACCTTCGACCCGTTGGACCCCATTGAAGTCACTATATGGAGAAATCCTGGAGTGTGTTCCTCAAAAACCTTCATTTCTTTTCCACTGAAGAAAGAAAGACATGAACATCTTGGATGACGTGGAGGAGGAGAGTGAATAATCAGGAGATTTCAATTCTAAAGTGAACTACTCCTTTAATCAGGATTAATCTTTTTCTTTTGTACATTTTATTATATTTGATTTCAATTTCTGTACGTTACCTACCTGAAAAACTAAAAACACTTTATTTAATTTGGTTCATGGTTCAATTGTGCTATTGCTCATTTTTGTTCGTATTTTATTACTGACCGTGTCCTTGTCTTAAATAATGTTTGAAATGTATATTAGTTAGTCTAACCGTTTTTGCTGTGGTGCTTTTGTGAAAACCATAGGCACCATAAGTGTTCAGGTCTTGGTATTCAGCTGCAACAAAATGTTTTTTGGAAAAATACATTTGACTTAATTTTTTTCTACCTTATTGGAATCAAAACTTGGAATCTCTAAGAATCGGAATCACTAAAATTGAAATGATTCTCAACCCTACTTGAGATGGTCTCAGTTCATGTATCGTTGGCTTGATTAATCATTCATCAATACACACATGAGTAAATATCTCCTCTTTGTGACTTGAGACGTCTTGTTTTATCAGCAGTTTTTCTGTATTGTGTGAAGCTTTGGTGTTTTAGTGCCACAGATGATGACTTGCAGTCCTGTTATGTTTGCAACGAAATGGGGATTCCCACAAATAAAAATAAACAGGATTTGCAGTCAGACTGACTTGTAATGTACGCCCAGTGGAATCTGTTGATAGATTTGATCCATTTTGGGGGTAAAAATGGAGACATGCTCAAATGTTTCGGCCTCTCCTACGCTTTTCACAATAAGATAACGAATTTATATATATCGAAACGGTGATGCACGGTAATCTAAAATTTCCCTTTGTTCTGCTTTAGAAGTTGGTCAGAAGAGTGAGGTTTTATAGTGAATAAGAGGGTGTGTGGTGGTATTGCTTCAAATAAATGAATTGCACAGAAAACCCCCGCCCATCATCCCTTCATATCCACCCACGGGTTCAGAACGCTCCAGCTGGGCCGCCCACCTCCATCACACGCTCGCACACACTCTCACACGCTCTCACACACTCTCTTACCTTCATAGTGTGATAATAAACGGGGTTAGTGACTCAGAAATGATCTAAACTCTAGATTTTGAGGTTAGAAATCAGAGGGCTTTTAATAAGACTCAATGTTTGATATGTGACGTATCGTAGTTTACAAATTTTTTTGTTTGAAATGTACAGTCAAACCAAAATGTATTCAGACACTCTTAACATTTCTCACATTATCTCAGTTTATTCGCTATAGTTCAGGAAATGGTGATAAACATGAGCAGAACTCAGAGTTCTCAGATCAGTGGATATTTGACTGGTTTTGTCCGTCCTTCTGTTAGACTCTCACACATGAATTATGTTGAATATCTGTCAGCTGTTAAATTTAACTACACAATTAGATAATACCAGTTTAGCTCAACCAGTGACCAAGCAATGCTTCATGTTGTTCAGTGTGTGTGTAAAAAGAGCATTGGCAATTTCAGAAAACACACTGAAGAAAAAAACATGATCAGCTCAAAGTGGAGGAATCATTTCTGGTCCCACATCTTTATTAATGTCACTGGTAGTCTCAAAGAGTTATTGGGTGTAATATGTCACAGTTTACTTTGTTCTGCTCTCCTCACTTACATAACTGAACTATAGTGTCCTGCACACAATAGTGAAACATATCAAAAATCATATCTGGTGTCTGAATATTTTTTTTATTTGACTGTACATGAATCTATAAGGCAGAGCATACACCTTTAGGTCTTGTTTTGAATTAAGTTTTGATTTGAAGGGTTAGTTCACCCAGAAATACATTCTGTCATCTACTCGCCTGTAG